GAGGGGCCCCTAAATGTGAATACAATTAGATACTTGAGCTAGTAAGCACTGTCATTTAATAAATTAGCTGTATAACTGACTTACTTGTCTGCTTGGGGAAATTAATGAATGGTGGAATCAGATGAAAAGCATTTGCATTCAAACAGCAGTAAAATTAGAGAGAGAACATATTTTTGATTCTACAAACTATAAATAGAGTAACTAAAAACAGAACTTGTAGATGACAAGAATTCCAAGATGTTCTGTAGATGACAGAACTCCAAGTGAGAAAGTAGAATTCAAATACCACGTTCACGTTACCAGGAAAAAAATACAGTCACGAGTTAGAGAATACATCATTTTAAATATGTTCAAATAAACGAGGAAGAAGAAGTAATGTATCTTGGAGCCCAGATTTTGTGTAATTCACAAAGTTCTCTGCAGAAGGGGAGAGGAGTGAAGAATCCGATTGCTGATCAGGGAGAGAGAGTGAATCTCAGCTATCATCCCACCGAGAGAAGATAAGTTGACACAACACTCTAAAAGCCCAGTCATGTCATATGTCCTTAGAGTGAATCAAATCCCTTTTCTGGCTATCACAGATGTCGATAGTGCTATCTCCTCTGTCAAAAACAAGGATATTTCCAGAGTGTAGAAGCCAAATGGCAGCAGCCAATCCACCCCAGAGGTTTCGTTATCTCCCAAGGCTTCTGAGATTAGATTTTTTTTTTAAATGAGACTCTGCAGTGGCTGGACCCCATGGGATCCAGTTTGTATTTGAGTTACATAACTCTTTTTAAATTTTTTTTATTTTTTTGTTTGTTTTCTTTTTTTTTTCTTTTTCCTCTTTTGAGTTATATAACTCTTGAATGGGGCTAAATCTACAATATTCTTCATCCATAAACAGATTTGTGTCGATAAAGATTTAGGTCAAAAATTTATTTAAATATTCGTAAATGTCTAATATATTTGTACAAATATGCAGTCCCCTCCTGCTGCAAATTGAGTCCACCCTTCTTTCTTTCTTTTTATTTTAATAATGAGATGTTTCCAGAATACAGAAAACTATAAAGAATCGTATAGTGAACTTTCAGGTATCTGCCATCCAGCCAAATCAAATTTTAACATTTTCCTTATTTGCCTGAGCACTTTACCTAGAATGTCTTAGAAACAATTAAAACATTTCAGATACAGAGGAAATCCCTTGTGCAATCTCTCCCAACCCCGCTCCCCATCATCCTTCCGTACAAGTAAACACTACCATGAATTTGGTGTTTATCGTCCCATCCGTGTTTTTATAGTTTGACAACATATGTATGTATTCCTAAATGAAATATATATAAATGATGTTTTAACCTTTTATAAAAATAGCACCATACTGTATATAGGCTTCTGCAACTTACTTTTTTTATTTAACATTGTGTTTTTAAGATTTATCCATTTTGCTACATTCATCATCAATCTTCATTTGCTTTCATTTAGGCCTGCAGCTCAGTTTTCTCTGCTCTTGCTTATTTGTTGGGCGGTTTGACTGTACAGAAGTTTACCGTCTAGTGGAAAGAATGAGGAATGCAGACAATTTTTTGAAACAGCCATGATTTTAATTCCATATGTCTACCATGGAGACACTGATTAAGAAAAAAAGTATATTCTCAGATTTTCCGTCTAGTTTTTAAAGGTGACCTGAGCTGTTCGCGTAATTCCCCCAAAATTCTTCTATGTGTTATGAAGATGAATGAATGCATCACTGAGCTATTAGGCTGCAAGGTAGGTGCAGAGGTCTCGCCCTAGGAGTTAGTGGTCCTGCAGTCTAGTCCTGATTCTGCTGTGTTTAGCAAGTTATTTAACTTCTCTGGGCTCTCATTTTTCTCATCTGTAAAAGGAATCGGTTGGACCAGATCCTCTTGGTGCTAGTTTTCAATGATCTGTGAAATATTTAAATAAAAACTATAAAGGCTTAAACTTTATTTTAAATCATATGACCAGTAGAATCTCATTTTCTGTATGAAATAAGTTTGTATTATAATATGTTGATAAGGAAAGTGCATGATGTATGAATGCCTATTTTTTTTTTTAGGACATAGAGTATATTTAACTATTTTAGTTAGTATATAGATATATAGTTATAATTTTGCCATCATCACACATTTTGTTCACATCTGTACTCTATTTACTTCTGAGTCCTTGGTGATAGGTCCCTGCCCCAATTATGATGGGGAAATAGGATCCACTTCCGTGATCCATTTCATTATACAGATTTGGGAGCACATCGTAGGGACTCTAGGTAGGCAAACTATAAAGACTACAAATGTGAACTTACAGTATGAGAATCACCTGCAGATTATTTGGCAGTTTGGCTACTATTCCTAGACCCTTGAATTGCAAGGGTAGGGCTCTTTTATTAAAGCTGCAACCTACAGAATCCTCCCTCAATTCATTATCGGAAAAATAAAACCAGTCATTTTAGAGGATTTTTGAATTTTTAATTGCAGATGTAATTAACTATCAATCTGGAAAATAGCTGGGTGTGATCTAAACTGCAATCTTCCTTATAACATTGGAAGCTTTATAGAACACAGAGATGCTGCCCTTTCCACCAGCCTCATCCTCCCACTGCTACCAACTCCCGTCCACAATTTCAAGAGACAATAGAAAATCCTTTTAAACCATCATTTACCTTGATGTAAATTTTAAAGTGTGATCAAGGATAGAAACAACATAGGTGCTAAAGCTGTGAAAATACCTCTTGATGATTGCCCAAGAAACTAATAACTTTTTCACCAATATACTGTTCAAAAAATATAAATTTATGAATAATGGATTATGATGATGATGTACCTTTGAACACTCTGTTTTTCCCTCTTTTTTAGTGGAGGAACAATTCTAATTTATTGCTATGGGGAATTGTCCTATTTTGCCATATTTCGGAAAGAAACCACCTACTTTTGCGGAAAACCATCCTCATCATTTAATCTTTCAGCCCATTGTTTCTCAGGGTTTTTGTAGTCATAGACACCAATTATATCAGCCCTTGGGGATATGGCAAAATTACGTTAAAAACTCACATTAAAGCTACACATTTTCTTTACTGCTCTATGTAACAGCCTTACCCCCATAGACTTCGCAAATTATATTTAAGGAATTAGAGAACTTCCTTTCTTAATTTTATTCTCATTAATTCTTCTAGGACATTTATTCATTAAGCTGTGTTGTTAAACTACGGCCATTAAGTGTGTAGGGCATGTTACCAGTCAAATGTCAGACAATCTCGTTCTCACATGCTCCCACCACCAAAGTCTTTCATTTCATTCCTATTCATTCTTACTTACTCCTAAAATAACTCCACTTAGATTCTCTCATATCACACCTCCTTTCCCGCTTTCCTCACAGTAACTTTCATTTTTCCCAGCTATATTTAGTCACATCTGCTCTGAAATGTAGGTGTATTTTGCCTTAAACCCTTAGGCATGTGAACAAAGGCAACACTATTGACCTGTCCGAAAAACGCTTCAATTGTGGAGCATAAATAAGCAGGTGGTAACAAGAGCATCCAAGTGGATCTGGGCCAGGCCTGGGGACCTGCTGAGCTCACCCAGCTCAGAGGCAGTAACGAGAAGGCAACACAAAGCAGGAGACATCACCATTACTGTACATTCCAAGGGCAGGAAGGAGGAGAGTGCTCCCCCTGTGGAAGCAAGGGGGTAAGAATTCTTGAAGAAAAAGTAGAAAGCTGAGATTGGAATCTCAGGAAGATCAAGTGCCAGTCCCATGTCCAAGAGGTCAGGGAAGGACCAAGGTCAGTGTGGTAAGGCCAAGAGTTTACCTTGTGGTTTGGCTTTATCAGTATGTGGGTGTGTGCAAGTGCCAGCAGCTGAGCCGATAGCTGCCAAGAGAGGTGGAAAGCAAGCATTAGAGAAAATGTGGTGGCAGAAGAAGACACCACAGGAGTTGTTGAGGCGTGGGTTAGGAAGTAGACAACAAAACTGGCACCAGGAATGACAGCGAGGCTGGCACAGGTGAGTGGCAGCTGCTGGGCAGGACAGACCAAACTGGCCGGTATCCTAGCTGAGGCCATGTTGGGCTTTAACTCAGGGAGGTTGAAGCAATTATGAGAAAGCAGAAGAGATGCAGTAGGGAATCCAAGGAAGTGGGTGGTCAGGACGAACAGAGACTGGGCAGGCCAGATGGCTGTCACTGCGTCCAACTTTCCAGCTGCAATCAAATAACCAAATTACAAAGTAAATCAATTTAAGCCAAGGTCAATTTTAATTCTATTCTTTGCTGGTGGTACAGGATCATTAACTGTATTGATAATGCCCATGTTAATCCCATTCTGAAATGGGGACAATTGTATTCCTTATTACTGGTCTGGATATTTTCAACAAAAAGGAAAGGATGAAGTCAAAACTATGCAACTATTTTTTTTAAAAAACTGATGCACATTAATAAGGTCTAGGGAATTTTGAGGAAATTTAACTGACAGTGTTGAGATTCATATAACTTTATGTTAAGAATTCATTTTCCAGGAATAATTTATTTCAGTTAGTCACATTTTAACCTTCACTAAAGTGTAAATTTAATTTAGTATAAATAACTACCATTTGAATACTAACTTAATCTTTTTTTATGCAGAAAATAAAAACGATTATGTATGTGTGTATGTATGTATCAAGACTAAAATTTAAACATTAGTTAAAGTTTTTGACTAAGAACAAACAATTGACAAATTCACAAGTTAGAATTTATAATTTCATTGTGAAGTTGACTAACTTGTTAATATAGATAAGATTGTCAGCACATGAAAAAGGCATGGCTGGGGCCGGCCTGGTGGTGTAGTGGTTAAGTTCTTGCACTTCGCTTTGGCAGCCCAGTGTTCGCAAGTTGAGATCCCTATACACTGCTCATCAAGCCATGCTGTGATGGCATCCCACATACAAGATAAAGAAAGATTAGCACAGCTATTAGCTCAGGGACAACCTTCCTCAGTCAAAAAGAGGAAGATTAGCCACAGATGTTGGCTCAGGACCAATCTCCCTCACCAAAAAAAATAATAATAATAAAATAAAATGAGGTAATCCTGTCTCAATTGTAGCTATAGATTGCAAATCTTGTGTCAGTTCGAATTTCTGCCAGCAGATACTAATGACTTTACTGAAAGCAGAAGATATTTAGAATGGAAATGGAAGTATAAACACAGCCCTAGTTGATGAATACACTCATTGTACTTCCTTATTATGACACTAGCAAATATTCAGTCTTTAAGTTGATCCGTGATATATTCAACAGTACCACGGGAGCATAATTTTTTAAATGACTTGTCCAAAGTTTCTTATCAATCCATCCTAGCAACAGAGCCGAGTGTTAGAGTTATGGCTGCCTGAGTTACAACAGCTGCCCTGGGAATCTTGTCCAAACAGCAAGTTAACTGCTATTCACAGAAATATCTGGTCTTTCCCGCCCCTAAAGATACACAAAAGATTTTTGTCATTCTTGGCATTGGTCAATAGAAGTAGCAAGACATGCCAGCAGAACTCTAAAGGCAGAATGTCCTTCCACCTGTTTTATGCTGTAAGACAGACTTCCAAGTGCGAGGCGGTGTGGAGGGCTGTTTCCTTGAATGGCAGCTGAATGCACCAGCAGGATCCTTGGCAGCGATGCCCAGGCACTGAAGCTGGGCATTCAGGAGAGCTAAATGAAGAAAAGAAACTTGAGCAAACTACTTCCTGGAACACCGAGAACCTGATTGGGAAATTAAGAAGTACCAGATTCTCTCTATTCTCCCACCAGCCAAGGTCAGATTTCCAAGCTCCTATTTATTCTAAACTTTCCCCAAAAAGTGCTATGGCAATTTGTGAAGGTAATAAAAATTCTCTTATTTTCTTTTAGAAAATAGTGTTACTGCTTTATTACGCTCTTGCTTGAGAAGTTTTTCCCCATCCTAAAGTAACAACTTCATACCACAAGTCAAGCAGAAGCATGGTGGAAGGGTTCATCTGGGGAGACAAGTGGCTTGTTCTACATCTCAAAGGGACACCTCCTTAGGTGAGAGGTATTGGATGCACCAGCTTGCCTGTTGACCATTCTCTTGTGATGAAAGGTCTGGCCTTTGTCTGCCTGGCAGACAAAAATCTTTCACTCAGCAGGACACCTAGACAGGCAGGAATAACTGCCACAGTCAAGCACTCAGTACCAGTAAGGAGGCTGAACTGATAGCAAAAGACCTGGAAGTCACAGGCTTTTGTTAACTCTGCACTGTCTGCCTGGTGCCCACTGGAACGCTAGTTTCCAGCCTAGAAACCTAGCAGCTTGGGAAAGCGACACCCTCCGTCTGAAGCGCAGGAGAGGATTCCTCCAGCTATTTTCAACTTTTCAGGAAGCTTAAAAGTAATTGTTTGTCTCCAGCGATAAGGGAGACCACCCCCGACCCCCTGAATCCAGAATACAGAGTTTCTTTGGCCTGTGGTATCGGGGTGACCCAGAGGCCCCTAACCCAAGACCAGCAGCAGGGCTCCCAGTGAGCTTGGGGGAAAAGAGGAGGCCCCACAGCAACGCCACTTGGAGCCTGTGGACAGCCCCCAACTCCTGACCGGCCCTGCTTTGCTCTCGAAGAACATCTTTTTCTGGAGATCTCGGCTGCGCCAGAGGCCTGACTTTGGTGTGGAGCTGTGGCAAGATGTGTGACCTCAACTGAAGACAGGGCTCCCTCCTTCCCAGACCTCCCCAGGCTCTTTTCTAGTCATGGCCTGAGCTGGGGCATGATGGAGACTTCAGCCTACTTCCTTCCCTCTACCTCTGTGCCAAGCCTCCAGGGCCAGATCAAAGAGCTTCCTCTCTGAGTCTCAGGTTCCCCATCCACGAAATGGAGAGCTGACGACCTACCTCCCAGGGGTTTGTGCGGATGGCCTAAGCTAATGTAATAAAGCGACTGCCCATGATACCTCCCCCCCCAAAAAATGTAATTGTTTGTTTACTCAAAATAAAGCCACAAGGATGACTTTTAGTTGGGGGAAAAAAGGACTCCTTGATTTCCTTTTGGGAAGATAAATTCGTTATTATTTAACAAATGCGTTTGCTTGTAAACAAAATCTTTCAAAACAGAGATTCTGTGAGGGAAATCATATTAAAAGGAGTTTTCAGTGGGGAAGAGATTAGGAAACCCTGTCCTAGAGACAACTGTTTAAGGGATGAAATTTCTCAATTTTTCATTTTCATAAAAAATTTACAAACAGTGGCTAACTTCCCATTATACTCTGCATCTCATTCATTCGAGGTACTGAATATTTAAGAAGATTATTAGAGGAGTGGCCGTGGGAAATTCCAGAGCTGCTGGCGCCTGCAGAGACTTCCTCTACTGAGTGTCTCAGCTCCCAGACACTGCCCCCAGAGCTGCAAGGAAATGGTGGAAATTCAGTAGAAGGAGGTCTTGCTTTAGCCAGCGAGGCTGCTCATAGAGTTGTGGTTTCTTCAAAGAGGTTCTACCAAAGTAGTGGCAGAGCATGCATACCGACGTGCACGGATTCAAGAAATGTAGGCAATAACATTTATTATTAGCCATCCTCTCGTTTCATCAGCAAGAAAAAAATCAGTTACTTTCAGTTGGCACAAAAGTACATTTATTCACTAACACATCAGGCATTGCTCGTGCACCTATCATATGCCAGGCTCTGTGCTAAGTGCTGGGGATATAAAGATGAATAAGACTCATGGTGCCATAATCAGAATTGTCAAAAACTGACCTTGCTGGCTCATTCTGGGTTGCCTGGACAAGAAGCCAGTGGGGACCTGAGCTTCTGACCTCCCAGCAGGATGAGTTGCACCCAAACTTCTCATGGGACCAATTTCTCCCTTTCCTAGAACCCAGGTCCTTGGGTGCTGAACGGTTGGTTTTGCCAGGTAACTCCTATAAAGATCTAGGTCAGATGATACCCAAGAAGTCTGATTATCTACCCACCAACTAGGTCATTCTCACTCTTGCCCTATAAGAAGGAGAGCAGCGAGTGGCAAGTTCCTTTCCCTGGAATGTCCACCCATGGTGCGTCCAGCAGAGAAACTTAGCCCATCTTGTCTCTTCTCTTGTTCATTCATGCTTTGTAAATTTCCCCAATAAAGTCTATGAAATTTCATGGAATTCATCACAAGTCCTTTTGCATGACAAGTGATGCACAGGAAAGGATCCATCTTATATAACAATGCTTCCAACCTTTTGGGATACCACTAGGCACAATGCTGAAATCACCTATTCCAGAAGAAATCTTGTCCTTCGACAAAAAGATTTAATTTTCAGTTCTTGTGGGATCTGGCCAAGGGAGGAAGTGAGAAACACTTCAAGGAGTCTGCAGTCCTTCCCATCTGAGGAAGGCAGAGGTTGCGCAGTGGAACTCCAGGGTTCCTTCTCCAACAGCTCAGCTCCTCTGTGACCGTGCCCATCTTAAACCTCCCTCAACAACTCATCGCACAGATGTTTGTTTCATTTGTTCATTCATTTAGTCACTTAATCAGGGCTGTTTTAAGACTTAAGAGAGATAATGGACAGGAAAGTGCCTTAAAAAAATATAAAGCTCTCCCCAAGTAACATATTTTGAATATCAAAGGTATATTTACTATAGATTATCAGTTCTTCTCTTTTTTTGGTCTTAAGCTGGGAACTTATTCTCCGGATAAAGGCTTATTATGAAGCCCAAGATATAAAATACATGTACGTGGACCTACTCCAATTGAAGTGAGGTGGAGGTTGGAACTCCAACGCTTCCAAGGAGCACATTTGAAAAGAGATGCCAAAGGGGCAAAAGAGTTTAGAAGGTTCTTTAAAAAATAAATCCCAACAGTTCTGTAGCTTGACTGTGACGGTGAATACATAAACCTGCATATGTTATAAATTTGCATAGAGCAAAACACGCTCATACACAAACGAATATGTGTAAAACTGGTGAAATCTGAATAAGATTGGTGGATTGTATCAATGTCAGTTTTCTGGTTGTGATATTGTACTATAGCTTTGCAAGATGTTACAAATGGGTAAAACTGAGTGAAAGGTACACAAGACCTCTGTATTATTTCTTCCATCTGCATGTGAATCTACAATTATCTTAAAATAAAATTTTCATTAAGAATAAATAAATAAATAAATAAATAAATCCACAGCATGAATTTCTTGTCCTGTCATTTTTCCCCTCTGAAATTGCAGAATGGTCAAACAAAAACAGACCTATGACCACCAGCTGAGACTCTTTGACATCCATGTTAATGGACATAGGCAAGTGTATCAGGAAGCCTTCAGGTCTAAGTAACAGAAAATGCTGACCCAGCTGACTTGAGCAATAAGGAAAATGTGGTATGTTATAGAACGAGAAGTCTTGAGTAGGGTAGTCCCATGGTCAGTTGATTCAGCAGCTCAGCAACATCACCAAGGATTCACATTCCTTCCGTCTTCCTACCCTTGCATTGTAGCATGTTAGTCTTATCCTCAGGCAAGCTCCCTTAGCAAGACGGCTGCTATCGTGCCATGTTCCACCTGCAGATGCAAAAATTATTTCTTTTCATAAGTTTCATTTAACTGCAAGGAAACATTTGCAGGTCTTTCTGCCACTCTCTTCACCCGCTTATTTTTATTGACCAAGATCAAGTCACAAGCATTTCCCTACATGGATCACTGGCCAAGGGATGGGATTGCCATTATCCTTAGACAGAGTCCCTGGGGGTGGGAGATGGTTACATTTTTTAAAAATCGGTGTTCCACCAGTGAGTAAGAGCCAGGGATGGACAGGGCGATGGATAGGCAACCTATTACCAAAGAGCCATCCTAAAGTGGGATGAGAGTTGTCCTAGAAGGTTCCAGGCATTTCTTTCAACAGTACAGTCATCAAGTCTCCCATTAAGTTTTGAGGCAAGCTCAGAAGGTGATGAAGCTGGAGTAGGCACCAGAGCACCCAGAACAACCGGAAGGAACACACTTTTACAGCTAGTTCCTGATTCCACACCACGGTGGGTGATGGGTCCAGCTTCCCATGCAGGCCTTGGGAACTCAGAACTAGGAGGAGAGCAAGGGAAAGAGGCTGCCATAACAGAAAGCCGGGAATGAACTTCCTCCAGGGGCCTGCAGGGCTGTCCTTGTAAAGGATCCTGTCTTCGGTTTAAAGGTGAGCACATTTTTTGCTTTGTTTTGTTTTGCTTGCATAAGGGTTGACTTAAACTGAAATAATATGTAAGAGTTATTTTTTTTAAATAAGAATCTTTTAAAAGTGAGGAAGTGCAACACCTGCCTTTCAGATTTTTTATTGTCTGGTCATCAAAGATTTCTTTTTTCAATTTACCCCAAATTTCTGACCTACAAGCAGAGCACCCAATGCAGTATTTGTCATTGATTCCTTGCTTAACTCTGTGTAAGATAAAACTCCTTGGTACTGGAGGCAGGATTTGAGGGATTTGAAGACTGAACCAGGGACAAGGAAAGTCTCTTGCTTGCTAGAGTTGGTGCCAGGAGAGAGAGTCTGGGGAGGAACAGGGGTCAGAGTATGTATTGGAAGATGTGACCATCTTTGGTGAGGGTGGAGGGGTACAAAATATAGTGCAAATGAGGGACTTTTACTGCCTCCCCCACTGCAATGCCAACCTCAAGGAGTCAGGGACTGTGACATCTTCCCCAATTCCTATCTGTATCCCCAGTGTCTATCATGTAGAACACATAAATATTGGTTTAATTAATTGAAACTTCCCTTTTCTACTCTCGAATTATAAAAACCTGGAAGGATAATTCCTTGCTGGATCATAGCCTCAAGAAGAAAGGAAGGGAGCTGAAGTCTCTCTCAGTCATTCTCTGTATCTGTCATGCTCTCCACATGTGTGGTCCTCTATCAGGACCTAAGCCCTGTGGAGACAGTCCAGGCATACCTCAGAGATATTGTGGGTTCTGTTCCAGACCACTGCAATAAGGCAAGTCTCATGAATTTTTTGGTTTCTCGGTATATATGTTTACACTATACTGTAGTCTATTAAGTGTGCAGTGGCATTATGTCTAAAAAAACAATATACATAACTTAATTAAAAATACTTTATTGCTAAAAAATGCTAGCATCATCTGAGCCTTTACTGAGTTGTAATCTTTTTGTAGGTGAAGGGTCTTGTCTCGATGCTGATAGCTGCTGACTGACCACAGTGGTGGTTACTGAAGTTGGGGTGGCTGTGGCAATTTCTTAAAATAAGACAATGATGAAGTTTGCTGCATCCATTGACTCTTCCTTTTATAAACGATTTCTTTGTAGCATGCAATGCCATTGGATAGAATTTTACCCGTAGTAAAACTTCTTTCAAAATTGGAGCAATCCTCTCAAATGCTACTGCTGCTTTATCAACTAAGTTTATGTGATATTCTAAATCCTTTGTTATTTCAACAGTCCTCGCAGCATCTTCACCAGGAGTAGGTTCCATCTCAAGAAACCGCTTTCTTTGCTCATCCATAAGAAACAACTCTTCATCCATTAAACTGTCATCATGAGATTGCAACAATTCAGTCACATCTTCAGGCTCCACTTCTAATTCTAGTTCTTTTGCTATTTCCAACACATCTGTAATTACTTCCTCCAGTGAAGTCTTGAACCCCTCAGTCATCCGTGAGGATTGGAAGGAACTTCTTCCAAACTCCCGTTCATGTTGATATTTTGACCTCTTCCCATGAATCACAAATGTTCTTAATGGCATCCAGAATGGTGAATCCTTCCCAAAAGGTTTGCACGTTACTTTGCCAAGATCCATCAGGGGAATCACTATCTATGGTAGCTATAGTCTTACAAAATGTATTTCTTAAATAATAAGACTTGAAAGTCAAAATTACCCCTTGATCCATGGGCTGCAGTATGGATGTTGTGTTAACGGGCATGAAAACAACATTAATCTCGTTGTACGTTTCTGTCAGAGATCTTGGGTGATCAGGTGCACTGTCAATGAGCAGTAATATTTTGAAAGGAATCTTTATTTATTCCTCCCCAAAACCCCCCAGTACATAGTTGTACATTGTAGTTGTGTGTACCTCTGGTTGTGAGGAATCTTTATTTTTGAACAGTAGTTCTCAACAGTGGACTTAAAATATTCGGTAAACCATGTTGTAAACAGATGTGCTGTCATCCGGTCTTTGTTGTTCTATTTATAGAGCATAGGCAGAGTAGATTTAGCATAATTTTTAAGGGCCCTAGGATTTTTGGAATGGCCAATGAGCATTGGCTTCAACTTAAAGTCATCGGCTACATTAGTCCCTAACAAGAGAGTCAGCCTATCCTTTGAGCTTTGAAGCCAAGCATTCACTTCTCCTCTCCAGCTATGAAAGTCCTAGGTGGCATCTTCTTCCAATAGAAGGCTGTTTCATCTACATTGAAAATCCATCATTTAGTGTAGCCACCTTCGTTAATGATCTTAGCTAGATCTTCTGGAGAACTTGCTGCAGCTTCTAAGTCAGCACTTGCTGCTTCACCTTGTACTTTTGTGTTACGGAGATGGCTTCTTTCTTGAAACCCAGGAACCAACCTCTGCTAGCTTCAAACTTCCCTTCTGCAGCTTCCTCACCTCTCTCAGCATTCATGGAACTGAAGAGGGTTAGAGCCTTGCTCTGGATTAGGCTTCGGCTTAAGAGAATGTTGTGGCTGGTTTGATCTTTGATCTTCTACCCAGACCACTAAAACTTCCTCCATATCAGCAATAAGGCTGTTTCGCTTTCTTCTCATTTCTGTGTTCAGTGGAGTAGCACTTTTACTTTCCTTCAAGACTTTTTCTTTTGCATTCACAACTTGGCTAAGTCTTTGGTGCAAGAGACCTAGCTTTTGGCCTGTCCTGGCTTTCAACATGCCTTCCTTCCCAAGTCTAATCATTTCTAGCTTTTGATTTAAAGGGAGAGACATTTGACTCTTCCTTTCACTTGAACACTTAAAGGCCATTGTAAGGTTATTTCAATATTTTTGTGTCTCAGGGAATAGGGAGGCCTGGGGAGAGGGAGAGAGATGGGAGAATAGCCAGCCAGTGAAGCAGTCAAAATGCACACATTTATCGTTTAAGGTCACTGTCTTATATGGGTGTGCTTCATGGAGTCCCAAAACAATTGCAACGCATAGTTTGCAGAACCCCAGTCACAGGACAGCAAATGGTGGGCAAAATGGAATCACCCAGCTCAGGGGAGGCCTTCTCCATCCATGCGCTTAAGTAAGGGGTTGGGGGCGGGACTGCGTACTGTTTACCCATCTAAATGTTACTGCTAAAATTAGACCTCAGTGTGCATCTCCAAACCTGGAGGGCCTGGTGTGCCGCAGCCAAAGGTTGTTCTTCCCAGGGTCTGGGCAGTGGAAGCCGTGCGCGCTTATTAATATAATAAGCTCATCTAAATTTCAAAAGGATGGAGGAGGCTGTTGTTCCTCTCCTCCTGGAAGAACTCTACAAATGACCTTCACAAAGAGCCCCCTCAGAACCTACAGAACCAAATTTTTTTACAGTCCTCTTTATGCCCCTGCTTCTATTTCCTCTTTCTCTTCTTTTTCCATTTCCTGTCTCCCTTTCTCGTCCTATCTATTTCTTCTTGTCACTACCTCTTTCTCTCCTGCTTCCCCAACTCTTCTTCCTCCTCCTCTGTAAAGGTGATACTTTGGAACTGAAAGTTTATTTTCATATTTGTGGAAAACAATTATATTTTTTTCATAGGTCTTCGACCCTTTGTGGAAATTGATTCTTCTATCCTAAGTTGACTTTTATAATAATTATCCAAAGACAAAGGATAATAATATATGGAAATTTAGTACACTAAAAGGGAAAAAATCACTTAGAGTTTAACATTTAACATTTAAGCATTCTGGGGCCAGCCCCATGGCTGAGTGGTTAAGTTCACACGCTCCACTTTGGTGGCCCGGGGTTTCCCCGGTTTGGATCCTGGGCACGGACCTGGCACCGCTCATCAGGCCATGCTGAGGCAGTGTCCCACATGCCACAGCCAGAGGCACTCACAATTAGAATACACAACTATGTACTGGGGGACTTTAGGGAGAAGATTAAAAAAAAAAGAAAACAAGATTGACAACAGTTGTTAGCTCAGGTGCCAATCTAAAAAACAATAGTTAAGCATTCTGACCTCTATTAGAGTTTGACGATGCCATTCATGTTGGAACACCTAAAATTACAACCATCATCTATGTTTTACAGACTTCCTTTATCTATGCAGACATTTCCTGTTCCGTTTTCTCTTTCCCCAGAGACCCATAACAACTTACTTATTGTTGGTCTGAGGTTTTATTTGAGGTGGGGGAGGGGAAAGAAGCCTTTTTAAAACTCATGAATCCAAACTTGTGAAGAGAGGTGAAAGAAGGCACGAGATGCCGGTGCTAACCTAGGCTGACACGTTTACTTTTGCCTGAGTTCACTTTAGAATGTAAATGTCTTCCAACTTCATTAGTTTAAAATTAGCTTCTCAAATATGTTTTTCAGAACTCAGTGTGCCCACGTACAATTACATATGCAACATTTGTGAACAACATATTCTCAAACCCAAGTCCACGCATCTGAGGTCAGCAATGCCAGCTAACCCTCACACAGGGCCTCCCACCTGCCAGGCACTGCGCGAAGCTCTTCAACTGTATCAGCTCATTTAATCCTTCAACAACTGTATTACAAGGTATGTGTCCTAGTCTGCTTGGGCTGCCATAACAAAACACATAGACTGGTGACTTGAACAACGGACATTTATTTTCTCACAGTTCTAGCGACTGGAAGTCAAGGATGAAGGCGCCAGCAGCACCTTGGGTTGATGTCTGGTAAGACTTCTCCTCTTGGGTGGCAGACAGCTACCTTCTCGCTCTGTGCTCACATGGCCTTTCCTCTGTGCTTGTGCAGAAAGAGAAAATGAGCGAGCTCTCTGGTGTCTCTTCTTCTAAGGACAATAATCCGTTTGGATCAGAGCCCCAGCCTTAGGACCTCATTTAATCGTAATTACCTCCTTAGAGGCCCTGTGTCTAAATAGAGCCACACTGGAGGTTAGGACTTCAACATATGCACTTTAGGGGGGACACAAACATTCACTCTATAACCATGGGTAATCCTGTTCTCTCTATTTTTCAGATTAGGAAACTGAGGTCCACACAGGTTGAGTAATTTGCCCAAGGTCACAGAGCTAGCAAATGGCAACTCCAGCATCAAGTTCTCAACCACTATGCTGTGCTATTTCTCACCACCTAGCATGAGTCTTAATATAACATCTAACAACCAACAACCCTAACCCCTAGCAGAACTTTAAACCTATCTTATAATTATCAGAGCTTTGCCGTGCCCTTTCTTTTTTTAAGTTTCCCTACAGGGAAACAATCCCTCACTATTACTATTCTTTTATTAGAAATAGTTTCTATATTATCAGTTTTAGAGAAATAACGTGTAGTTACTACAATCTGGCTCTTAAAACGCTTATATATCTTAGTTAAACATCTAGTGAAAACTTCTTCTAATTTTCTATATTTATACCCTACTGGTTACAAATATAATCAGTAGTAATATTTCAAAGTCTTGTGAAAGATGACCTGAGTGGAGCCATATCAAAATAGAGCCAGAGCAGCCATTACAGAGGAGTTGCCTTGCACATCTTGTTTTCTTTATCTTCCAAACTGGTCCAAACTGCCAATATTCCGAGAAGTCAGTAAGGACAAGAATATCCTTTCTGTAAGAACCGATGCAACTGGACTTTGCTGATGATCAAATCGCTAACCAACCAATGAAGGACAAGTCCAGCCTTTTCTCTGATGACCGAATCTCAAGGCAATCTATGAAGTACAACCTAACCTTGCCTCATCTGGCACCAATGAACTCTTCTTTAATACGACTCACTTCACCCTCCCTTTTTCCATAAAAATCCTAAGCCCCTCTCCTGTAATTGGGATGCTATTTGGGTTTCTACCTGAATCTGTGCCTCATGAATTGCAGTTCTTTGATCCCAAATAAACACTTTGCCTCTTAAACTGGTTTCTGTTTTTGTAGGTTGATAGGCTCTATTACTTTTTAAGGATTTAAAGCTTTTTAACCCAAATTTCTATTAAGAAAACTGGAGCATCATAATTTTGTGAGACTACTCTTAGAATTCTTACTGGTCAATGAAGAAATTATTTTACACCAACTTACAGGCTTTGCCATGTTCAAATCAAATGTGTACTGAGGGAATCTGATTACACGATTGGCAGCAATTCTAGGATTTTTAATGGAATTGGGGTGGAGGGAGGAGGAGGGGGAGGGACAATGCATTGGACAAGAGCAAAGATTCTGGAATTTGGCTCTCCCGGTCTGAATCCTGACTCTACGGTGTCCTTGAGCAAGTCACTCAACCTCTCTAAGTTTCAGTTTCCTCATTAGTAAAATGAAGCTAGGAGTAGATTTTCCCTTATGTGAAGATTAAGTCAGAGAATCCATAACTGTAAATTAAATAGTGCCAGGCTCACTAAAAAGTCAATTTGTTTCCTGCTTTATTGAGATGTAATTGATGTATAGCATTGTATAAGTTTAAAGTGTACAACATAATGATTTGAGATATATATACATATATATATAATGAAATGGTTACCACAAGGTTAGTTAACATATCCATCACCTCACATGGTTACAATTTTGCATGTATGTGATAAGAACTTTCAAAATCTACTCTCTTAGCAACTTTCAAATATACAATACAGTATTGTTAACTATAGCCAGCCCTGGTGGTCTAGTGGCCAAGATTCGGAGCTCTCACCGCCATGGCCCAGTTCCTTTCCACCTGGGTTTGTTTACTGGTCCGGGAACCATACCACCTGTCTATCGGTTGTCGTACTGTGGCAGCTGTGTGTTGCTGCAAGCTATGCCACCAATATTTCAAATATCAGCAGGGTCACCCACGGTGGACACTTGAGCTTGCAGACTAAGACCGACTAGGAAGAAGGACCTGGTCACTCACTTCTGAAAAAATTGACCGTTAAAACCCTATGAATAGCAATGGGGCATCATCTGATATAACACCGGAGGTGAGAGGATGGTGCAGAAAGACTGGACAGGTTTCTGCTCCGCTGTCCACAGACTCGCTAGAGTCAGAATTGACTCGACAGCACCAACAACCCAATATACTCTTAACTATAGTCACCACGCTGTCGTTTCCTCCCCAGAACTTATTTATCTTATAACTAGAATTTCCTACCTTTGACCACCTTCCTTCATTTCCCCGATCCCTGGAAACCACCAATCTGTTCTCTGTTTCTATGAGTTTGGTTTTGTTAGAGCCCACATACAAGTGAGCTCATACAGTATTTGTCTTTCTCTGTCTGACTTATTTCACTTAGCATAATGCCCTTAAAAAAATCAATTTTTTAAAATTAAAAAAAATTTTGTGTGTGTGTGTGAGGAAGATTGGCCCTGAGCTAACATCTGTTGCCAATCTTCTTCTTTTTGGCCCTGAGCTAACATCTGTGTCCTCTATTTTGTACGTGAGATGCCGCCACAGCATGGTTTGATGAGTAGTGTGTAGCTCTGTGCCCAGGATCTGAACCCGCAAACCCCAAAGTGGAGTGCCACCAGGCTGGCCCCAAAAAATCAAAATGTTTTTAAAATTGCAAACTTCTAGAAAGAATGTTTTTTATATATATGTGTGTGTGTATATATATATATATATATATATATATACATATTTTTTTTTTTAATTCCCCAAACCCCTAACGGGAAGGGACACGGTGAGTGTTAAATGAAAAAATGATAAATGTCTTGAGAGGGCAATGTCCCACCCCGACCCACTCTTAGTATTACTAGCTTCACCAGGAAGCAGCGGAAGCTGTCTTTTGAGGTAAAATAGGGCCTCACACAGGCAAGAGCATTGCTAGACCACAGGCCTTGCTCTTAAACCACAGCTACACCCCCAGCCTTACACGAGAATTGGGGAGGAACTCTTGCTTAGTTCCCATGATAAACAGTTTCTCACCTGTGTAGTTCTTATGACTTTTTTGACATAAACATACACTTATGTTTAGTCTTCTTTGGGGATGACATCGTGATATGGGATATTTCTCTTCAGAATCCATTTAAAACTAAGTATTTCAGGTTTTAGAGTGAATGAAAACCATTAAGTAGTACATAAAATATATTTTGGTCAGCTGAGCCTAATTTTAGACTGTCAGCACAGACACTCATCAGCACAACTACCACCCCACAGACACTACAGCATCTGTTTGCCTCTATTAAATATGGTTGAGAACTTTCGTTTTGTGACTTGGAGAGTAGACCCACTTGTAGTTTCTGGGATGGCTAAGTTCCAAGAAGGTATGAGGGAGGGATGGTATGGATTCTCTCCCCACCTAGCTTTTTAGACTTGGTCTTAAGCCCTGATGGTTAGATGGGTGAGGGCCAGAAAGTGGGGACACTGGTCACGAAAAATCTTTATGATTCTCAGTGCCAAGCATCATTGCTTCAGATCCCAGGTGACAAAGTATAGCACAGGGCTGGGAGGAAGAGGCCATTTTCCCCACTCTGCTCTGACAGCCCAAGGGCTGGCGGGCTTGGCAGCCTGGGAGAGACATGGACTTGGCACCATCAGCTCTGCTTTCATGATGGGCAGTGACAGCATTGGTGCTTCCAAGCAGCCCTGCAGGAAGCAGACCTGGAGGAGCCAGAGCAGGAGAGAAAGGACCAGGTGGATCTGTGTGGTTACAGCAGCTGGTTTGTAAGCACGAATGACACATCCTGTTGGGGATGCCCAGAAATAGCTGTAGGACACTGAGGTCAAGCTAAGATCCTGTTGTCACCTTTGTAATTTGGACATCAAAAGGCAACATAACCTGATTTTACATAGTCTGGGAGACCTGGACACGCTGTAACTAAGCTGTAATTGCAATTAATGGGCTACTTTATAAGTAACCTAATTTCACAAGATAATTGGTAGCTTACAATAAAATGAGATTGGTAACTTACAATAAAACAAGGAGATTATAGCCATTGCAAAAAGGTCTATAAATTGAAGAGACTGAGACACAGGCAAAAATTCTGAATTAGGTTAAGCAAGAAGAGAAAAACAACAGAGCTTCAAAAGAATGAGACTTGTTTCATGGAAAGCATTTTACCACAAGTTCAAGCATTTCTTTTCAAGAAGAGCTTAAGAGTGGAAATATGGATGGAGGACTTGTCTTAAGCATTTTCATGCCACTCTACCTAAAAATGAGCAAATATCAGTTGTTCCCATCAAAGGACGAGGGGTTGGTGGACATGAGTACCTTTGGTCCTACTGCTGACCCCAGAGCGTCCTTAGCTTTTGAGCCACTTCCAAATCAGCCTTATCACCTGCCGCAGAACACATCGCATTGGCTTCCTCTCCTCCTGGTGAGAGCCACTTTGGAGTAGAGACAATGGTTCAACACTGTGGGAGCATGGCTACAGCACTAGAAGACCACGCCCACAGAACACTTCCTGTTGACTGGCATCCCACCACAGGTTCTGATGAGAAACACCTTCTAGCAAACTCTCTATTGTTAGAGCAACTTCCCTGAGAACAGGAATCAGAGAAGCACTCCTTGGCAGCCCAGCTTGACCATTCCATACTGTCTGTCCGTTTCCCTCTAGCAGCTAAGCTTTATCTGCTCATCCTCTGGCTCTCACCTAAGTGTCTTCCTCAAGGAAGCCTTCCCTGACTAGGTAGGCTTTTGCTGCCCTCTTTACTTCTTCATAATACTTAGAATGAATTAATATTGGTAGAATTGTGTATTTAATTACTGCAGAGAATATGAACAGGGATCATGCCTGTATTGTTCACTGATGGACCCTCAGTGCCTGGCTCACAGTAACTAGAAAATATTTGTTGCATGAATGACTGTTAGTGTCACCTGCAGAGCTTTCCCTACATGGCTGATGTCTTCAGCTAAAGCACTTGGTGTTTTGCTTCATTCATCTCACTCCTGCTGTTAATATTTTAAATTATTTTTTAATTTTATATAAGTAATGTGTGAATATACATTTATTGCAGAAAAGTTCAAACAAAACATATACATACATACATATGAAAATTATAGTCTTATATATGTAAATTATGCCACAATAGAGGCTGGCCCAGTGGCTTAGCGGCTAAGTTTGCACACTGAGCTTTAGTGGCCCATGGTTCACCAGATCAGATCCTGGGCTTGGACCTATGCACCGCTTATCCAGCCATGCTGTGGCAGGCATCCCACATATAAAATACAGCAAGATTGGCACAGATGTTAGCTCAGAGCCAACCTGCCTCAGCAAAAAGAGGAGGATTGGCGGCAGATGTTAGCTCAGGGCTAATCTTCCTCAAAAAAAGATTATGCCACAATAAAGCTATGCTTGAAAAGCTGCAACCCCCCTTCACAATTTTGCACCAACCCAGTCCCATTCCTTTTCCCAGTCATAAAACCACTATTAATAGTTTGATGTGTAAACTTCCAGATCTTCAGTGTATTTTCACACATATACTCATATGAACATTCATACTTTCATACACATATAGGACATTCACACACATTAAGAGTGTTTTAGGCAGAGTCCAATCAGAAGGCAGAAGCTATGCTAGATATTGCAGAGGGAATTCAATACAGATGATGGAAGGGTTGAGAGGCCAGAGAACAGCAGGCAGCCACTCTCAACCCTGGGGCTGGAGGGACAAAGGGAGAAGGTAGTGTTACCAAAGCCTTGGTTCTGGGTCCACCAGGAGGAATCTGGAACCAGCACTTCCAGGCTCAAGCTGCAACCATGGAGACAGGGTTGTGCAGCAGGGGCTGGAGACATGTACAAGATGCTGCCAGACCCCATCTGAAGCAGAAAGAAGGGGACAAATAACCTTGCTTCTCCTCTCATTCTCCAGTGTTCCATCACTGGCTCTCTTTGGCCAGTTCACTAGGGAAGCCTGGGAAAAATAGTTCCCAGAAATACAAAGCCCAGGATTGAGGATGGTAGAGAATAGATTTGAGAACAAACAGACAAAAGACCGGCATGTGTAGCTTAAAATAAAATACATAAATAGCATCATGGTAAGTCTAAATTTATCACGTCATTTTTGTAGAGATGAACCCTGGTTAGAATGGCCATTGAGAGCAGACTCCATCCACAGAATCAAGAGTCCAGCAGTAGAGCACAGGGGTTGGCAGCGGAAGGCAGGTGTGCTGCAGAAGTGCACCCCAGGCAGAGGGAAAGGTCAAAGGACTGCTGTGGGTGCAGGTCTCGTTCCCAGGGAACCAGGCCTGACCTGCTCCGCAGGGTGGAAAGAGGGCAGGGTCATGGGCTGATTACTGAGCCCTGAGTAGGTTCAAAGACTCAGAGATTCTAGAGCCTGAAAGGAACTTCGGTCTCCCATTTCAACTCATGACTTCTACAGAATAAGGAACCGAAACGCAGAGAGGTGAAGCGATGGGCCCGGCTGCCCAAAGGTCCACAAACTTATTTTTTGTTTTTGGGTGCATGGTGGGGAGGCATTTGGGGACAGTTTAGCACCAATGCCTCCTCTTCCTGTTGTGAGTCACTGAGCAGCCCAGCAGAGAAGCCCTGACAAGAAATGAGGAGCTCTAGAAGCGATTGCTCCAATACGACCTGTTTAATAAACAATGCTAGGCCCCTGGCAAGTCTTATGAAGGAATTTGCCAAAGATCATTTCTTTAGAAACTCCTCTAGCCTCATGAGTCTGGTTTTAGTAGTCTTGGGCAAAATTTTGGAACCTTCAGTATATTCCATGCACTATGCTAGACATAAAGATGAACAAGATACAATATGAATAAGCCATGTACTTCCAGGAGTTCTAAGTCTCCGAGGGATCAGAAGTGAATACAGATAATTATGATGCTATGTGATAAATATAATAATATCTATAGCACAGAAGAGGGAGTAATTGCTGGCAGAGGGGAGCTCGGGGAGGTGGACTGAGAATGCCTCACCAAGGTGACAACAGAGAAGGTGCAGAAGGAAGAATAGGAGCTCTTTAGACCTCCCACTCCAATTCTGAAATGACAGCATTAAACCAACCTTTCCTGGAACACCACTATTATTCCTCAAACGTTTACAAAGCAGCTCTTCCTGCCCCATTTACCTCTCATTAGGGAATGGAAACCACAGGCAAACATACCATTTTTTAAAGTAAATGATAGATGGAATGAGTCCGCTGGCCCCATCCACCAGGATCACTAGGGCCAGGT